ACCCACCCACCCATCCCACAGAAACACCCATTTCTGTTTCCGTGTTCTGAATACCAGGCCAGGGCTGTGACCAGAAAGAATTACAGGAGATTGTTTCAAGAGATGTTTACCTTAGGGCCAGGGATTTAGCTCAGTGGTGACGCTGCCTGCCTTGTAGGCGCAAGTCCTGAGTTTGATCCCCAGTACCAAAAAAAGAATAGAAAAAAAAAAAGAGATGTTTACCACAGCAGCATGAGTCAGCACTTAATAATGGAAAACAGTTCAAAACTAGATACAACCATTAAAATGATGGTTACAAGAGAACCAAAAGAATCTTGGGGAATATTTAACTGTCACGGACCAATGACATTCGAGAAACTCCAATTGCAGCCTTACCTTGGCCAAATCACGTCTGTGGGGGCCCTGGGAAGGATTTACATAGATAAAGCCTCATTGTGATTACACCATCAGACCTGTCCCGCCTGTCCTGTGTATCCATTCCTGGGGTCTTGGGAAACATGATCACTGCAGATCTATGGGAGAGGTGGCTCCACTCTGACCCAGGATTGTGTTTGAGTATTTGTTTAAGTATTTGCAAAAGAATTGTGTCTCCCTTTGTACTTAAGCACTAGCTCCTCTTTTGCATACTTGATACTTGGACTTAAATTCTAAGTTGGGCATTCTGCTGGGAAACAAGACAAATGACACCAAGGGCGAAAGGAGATAGACGACATTGGCAAATCTTATAACACAGTGGTGTGTGAGGAAAGGGAGGGAAAATATGTCAAGAACCCACGAGTCCATACTGATATAAATAAATGATTTAATAAAGAGAAGAAGAGCTCAGTCTTTCTCACAGAATTCTGCCCAGCCGTAGAAAACTCATAAGCCCAGGCTAAGGAGAAAAGCATAAGACAAACCCAATTTGCAGAATGAACTTTTTATAAAATACTTGGCCGGGACTTCTCAAAACTGTTAACGTCATGAAAAACAAGGAAAGACTTGCTTTCATCACAGGCCAAGATGAGGAGGGAGATGAGATGATAAATGTGTAATGTTGTATCCTGGATGGAACCTGGAAATGGGAAAGGACATTAGTGAAGAAAGTGGTAAAATCTCTACAAAGTCGAAGCCTGGTGTTGAGAGGAAAGTAATGGTTGTGCCATAATTCCTGTACTCCGGAGGCCAAGGCAGGAAGATCACTGTGAGTTCAAGGCCAGCCTGGGCTACACAGTTTAAGGGAGCCTGAACTACATAGTGAGAAACCAGAAAACAAAACCAGGGCCGGGGATTTAGCTTAGTGGTTCTGCCGCCTGCCTTGCAAGCACAAGGTCCCAACTTCGATCCCCGGTACAAAAAAAAATTTTTTTTAATTAAAAAAATAAATAACAAGGTCACACAAGAAGTGTTCCATGCCAAATAAAAATATACTTCCGTGTATCCCTTCTGCATTTCAAGGGATGAATTTTTTCCCTCAAGACTCCAAAATTAACTCTTTAAATTATAAAAACAACTAACTAATTTACAGATATTTCAGTAAGCAGATAAAAAGGGGAAAATAATCACTCCATAATCCCATCATTCAAACAGAACCATGCTCATGTCTACGTATTTCTTTTCCTTCTTTTATATATTTTTTCTTTCCAACCATATTTTTACACAGTTGTAATTATGGGCTATGTGTACTTTTTTCTGTGGAAACTTCTTATTTTAGAATAAGTTAGGTCTGCAGTAAGTTTACAAAGACAGTCTAAGAGTTCTCAGGTACCCATCTCTCAAGTTCAGTTTTCCCTAATCTTACATTACTGTAGCACATTTTTGTGCTTTTTAAAAAAAAAGTGAATCATTAATTCCAGTCCACCCCCGGGGAAAAGGGTAAAGTTCCACCTCCCACAGGAGAGTTTGGACATCCTGTTTGCACACAATACTCCCAGAGAAGTAGTGCTCCCTCCTACAGCATCGACTCAGTGAGAATGGATCCAGTGACATCTTTGATGTCACAAGTACCTGTGAGCAGAAACCACTCCTTCCTTAGAGCCCACCACAGCCCTCTTCAGACCCACGTCTTAAAATGGAGGCCGAGGGCCGAAGTTTTAGCTCAGTGGTGCCGCCACCTGCCTCACAAGCACAAGGTCTGGAGTTCAATCCCCAGTACCAAAAAAAAAAAAGAAAAAATGGAGGCTGAGTTCATAGGTGCCTGGCCTGGGACCTTCCCCCAAGGTGCCCATGCGATCAGAGTCCCCGAGAAGAGGGAGAGTAAAGCTTTACTTGGTGGTTAACATCTTTCCCTACAAAAGCTGGGCAGTAACAGGTTTTGGTTTTTTTGAGACCCTCCTATCAGGGGGCAGGCACATGGATCAAGAGATGGATTTCCAGAACTCTCTCTCTGGCTTTTAGCTTGAACAAATATGCAACT